ACTGTGTTTGGAACTGCCAGTACAATCTATTAAATCAAATCTTTCATCTAACTGTGTTTTCATTCTGTCACTCATTTCACTAACCACAGAATGAAAGCAAAGAGCAAGACAAAAGATCAAATTTTAATTAGATAACTTCCAATACTTTTTTCCAAGTCTGGAAAACTTTCTGAAGATAAAAAAACCTTCTATTGTGTATACCACAGTAGTCCAGTCAAATTGTCATAAACCTTAAACAAATTGCAACAGAATTTTTTTCTTTATTTATAATTAGTAAATAGTATTATAATCAACATATAAAAACTCTAGAAAAATATATAAAGGCGAAAGATGTGTTTTTCAGAAATAAATATTTACTGGTCTGATAAAATATGTATTGCAGAAATGTGCTACCATATGCACCAAGGGAGACAATTTTAACCACTGTAAACAAACCACTTTTCTTCTTAAAGAAGCATAATAAAATTTATAATTCATTTTGTATACATGCTCTGGTTTAAATTTCACCAATGCACTGGAGATATAAGATCTGAGAATCTTATATATGTCTAAACTTAACGATATATTGTTGAAACCTTAGTATATACTACATTATCTGCATCACAATTTTTAAGCATGTAGGAACCTTTCTTTCAAATATTAGGTCTATGAATCACAAGAAATTATATATTAATCATGCATTTCTGTAAAAATTCAATCTTCCAATTAATAATAACTCGTGCACATATATAAATTAGTGTTTACTTCTCTTTTATTAGATATTGGAAACGTTAGGGGAAATATTCTATGGAAAGTTGTTAGTGGTATTTTTGCAACATAAAAATATTTTATTACCTACAGTTGTAAAAGTTATATTTTGGTGTATGACCTTGTTTAAAGATTTTTTTTTCTTTAGAATGTTGATTATATTAGTGAGATCTACTTTGCTATTTCCAAAAAAAAAAAAAAAAATAGATTAGGCCATCTTGGAAAAATTTTTTGGTTGCCCTCTTCCGACTGACTGACTAAAAATGGCCCGACTCAAAACTTTTTTGTTTTTACATTCGAGGACATCATATTTTTTTCTTTTTATTCCTCTTATCCTGTCAACAAATATGTTGAAATTGTCTAGAAAAAAAAAAAGATTTTCTTACCTACCTGCCGATTTAATAATTTTACCCTGAATCAGGAGAGGGCAAACAAACAATACTTTAATGATGGCCTTATTCATATTTTTTTTTTGGGGGGGGGGTGCATAATCACTATAATTATGCTTATTATGTATAGTATATTTTATTGTAATTTGTAAACATATTTCTTAAACATTATATTTGTGTCACTTTGATTCAGATTTCGCTTCTAGTTTCTATTTAACATAACCCCGGAGCCAAGTAGGGTCACACGAGGGCCGGGATCTAAATTTACAGGAAGTCTTTGAAATAAGCGGCGTTGTGGAATATTTGTATTTTTTAAACACATCCTATTATGTAATAGATTTGTGCATTTCAGCTTTTTAAAAACTACACAACATTATCGACTTATTTTCCAAGTAGCATCCCAAATACACCTGCATATATAAGAAAAGTTTTGTAAAAATACTATTTTCCTATCACGAAAAATGAAATTTATCACTTAAAAGAGCGTAGAAAATGATCAGATAGGTAATTTAATTGTCATAAAAATGACTCTAGATCTAAGCCTCTATAAGCAGCGCTTGTGAAGATTGGTTGATTGTATGTTGTTTTACGCCCGGTTCAAGAACTTTTCACTTATATAGAAACGTCACCATAATTATATCGGCAAAATGCTTGAAATTTAGACCTTTACACGGCGCTTAGGGCTATTGAGCAGTGAGGGTTCTTTATCATGCCAACGCCTACATGTACCGTGATATGGGGCCTTTAATGGGGTTTTTAAAGTCTCATCCTAAAGACCTGCAACGTTTACTTCAAAGTGCCGAGAGCTTAAATGATGTGATACCCCCCCCCCGAAACACACACACAAATTACAAAATAAATCCAAAGGAGATATAAAAACTATCAATGAACATTATATTGAATACAAAAAGAAGCAATTTGAATATATACTATTGAGGTTGACATTTAGGTGAAGAACCAGTTCCAGTTTCAAGATTATCATTCATTTATTTTTTAGGTATTCTGTGGCACCTTCAATGGATTTTTACGATATTACTTTTTATTATATCTTTTAATTAACCTTTCAGATAAAAGCAATGGGGAAAACTGACTTTTAAGATTTCGTTCAAGTGATACGTATCCATAGATATGACGTATTTCAGATGAATGTCCTAAGCATGCATTGCTTTAAAGGGAGATTTGTCGGGAAGGGGGGGACTGACCCCCTCCCCCTGAGATTTTCAAGAGTTAAAAGGTTATATGTAAAAGTAACAAAAACATGTCTATGAACCCATTTCCCCAGGACACTTATTAAAATGGCAACAAGTCATGTGCATTATGAACCCATTCCCCGGGACACTTATTTAAAAGGCAAGAAGTCGTGTGAATTATGAAAAGAGACCCCCCTCCCTCCCTTCTCCTCTGAAAAGGTTTTTAAGTTTGAGGCAATTAATTTTATTCATTTTCATTTCCTTTTACTTATTTGTTTATTTATTTATTTATATTTGCTTGTCAGAAAACTTCCGAGACTTGACATCTGTGATATTTAATATGAACCCTCCCCCTCCACCCCCCACCCCTGACAAAAATTCCTGGGATGAGTGCTTAATTGTCCCCTATATATAATTTAAAAAGAAATATTTTAACTAATAAAACTTGTCATTCCTACTATGGCTACATATTCTTTATCCCTACACAAAGCCATACTGAGGAATTGGAATAGTTTTATTTTTCAATTATGTCCGTTGCCATGGAAACAGGAATTCATAACAATTAATGAAATAATTACCAGTTTCAGTGTGCAGGATTCATTTCTGCATGACCTATCAAGAAAATTTAAGATCATATAGATGGCAAAACTATTTTTATGCATATATAGAGTGTCTTTTTAAACAGTGATTTATCGGCATTTTTGAACAAAAATCGGGTTTTTTGAAAACTGAAAAAAGTGATGTTTGGACAAATATATTTTTCTAGAGTTTTGATATATCAAAAGGCACATGATAAATAACAAAATTCTACTGGAATAATTTCTGTTGCAATTTGTTTAAGGTTAGGATGTTTTAGGACTAAATTGACTGGACTACAGTGGGTGTTTCATATAGAGAGGGAATGACTAGCATACCAAATTTTGATTTTACTCCCAAATTTTCTGTAGTATATGCTGTATTGTTAAGGTCTTCCGTTTGAGTCGGAAGACCTTATAGTGATTGTACTGTTTATTATTATTATTATTTTTTTTTTTCCCATTTTTTGTCCAAGCGATTTCTCAGAGATGGCTCAATGGATTTTCTTGAAACTTTCAGGGTTTATGACAAATAAAATAAACTAAAAACATTTTTAAGGATTTTGCAAAATTCACTTCCGGTCGTCAAATATGTCCGATTTCCGTTTTTTCAAAAGAGTTCATGTCCGGACGTTTTCTCAAAAACGGCAAAAGATTAAGACCTCAAACTTTCAGGGATTATAGATCATGACAAGTATGTTTGTGGAACATGTTTAAATCCGTCAGCCGTCACTTCCGGTCGTCACAGGAAGTGATCAAAGAAATCGAAAATTTCAACTTTTCTTATTTTAATTAAATCTTGCATCACTTAATTGCATCTGTTTTGCAGTTTCGAAATATGTTGGTCCCACTGGAAACAGAAACGTCAACTTCCGGTTACAAGCGAAAAACTACATAATTTGAGCATTTTACTTTCCCATAAATATCGCTTATAGAAGAAGTATTTGAATTGATTTTTAGATATGTTATTCAGACTGCAAATGTCTAGAGTAACGTCAAATATCTTGGTAAAATTCACTTCCGGTCGCGTGTTTTACTGTCCGCAAAATGAGAACTTGTCAAAGTGAGATCTCAGAAACGGTAAGAGATTAAGACACCAAACTTATATGAGTAATAGAGCTTAATGAGTAGGCAAAACCCTTTGGGTTAATAGCGTCAACCGTCACTTCCGGTCTTCACAGGAAGTGATCAAAGAAATCAAGAATTTCAACTTTTCTCTTTTGAGTTAAATCTTGCATCATATAATTGAATCTCTTTCACAGTTTCTATATGTGTTGGTCTCACTGGAAACAAAAAACGACAACTTCCGGTTATAAGACAAAACTATGTAAATGGGATTTTTAACTTTCCCAAAAATATCGCTTATAGATAAAGTTTTTGAAATGATTTTTATTTATGTTATTGAGACTGCAATTGTCTAGTGTGAAGTCAACCATCTTAGAAAAATGTGCACTTCCGGTCGCGTGTTTTTCTGTCCTCAAATTGAGATTTTGTTCACCAAATTGCTCAGAAACAGTACATTGCTGAAGTCTAAAACTTTCAGAACTGATAGAGAGTCCTCAGTTCATCTGCATAATGTAAAAATCGTACGTTGCCGTCACTTCCGGTCGTGACAGGAAGCGATGAAAAAAGTAAATTTTTAAAGTTTTTCTTTCTTTTTACAGAAATGTTTGGCTAATACGGATGTTAGATAGACTGTAACAATGCAATTTATTTTCACCGGAAGGCCCAACCGAAAAACCGGAAGTTGTCTCAAACATGAGTAGTTTTTCATAGAAACTTTTAGGGAGGATCAGTTGTGAATAATTTAGGTGTAGAATGAACATTTTATTCGTTTGGAGCACTTTCAATCATGACGTAGTACATAAAGAAAACAGGAAAGTAATTCCGTTTTTTTTATTGTATTTACATATCTTTGGAAACCTTGAGATAACTTTTGTTAATTATTTAGAGTAATCTTATTGACAAGATTGTGGTTTTTTTTTCCGAAGAAGTCAAGAAAACGGAAGACCTGTTATTGCCTAGGCAATAAGTATCTAGTTGTTATTCTGGTTAGTCTAAAATGTAATAAAAAAAAAGAAAAGAAGAAAAGAAAAAAATTGTCTTAAGACATTTTAATTGAGAAAATGGTAACACAGTTTTGTCTTTGATCTTTCACCACTACCGAGCATTCCTAGAAGAGAGAAAAAAAGTGTGGTTATCATTAAGACACATGTAGCTTTCTCATGAACATGTCCATGTTAGTAGGATTATAAAATAGTTCAAAAATAGTAAAATAATGAAAGCATTTGAATTGATCGCTTAAATAAAAATAGTACATATAGTTAAAATACTTCTATAAAACTTGTGTCTTAAATTCCAAGAGCATTTCATTGAACTTCTCTCTATTTGCAAACTAACTATTTGATTTGGGTAGCAATTAATCATCCAAATTACTTACAAAATGAAAATTATTACACTGCATACATCATGCTTATAATCATGAATTAGTTAAAACTGTGCTGACACAGGTCATTTTCTCCCTGCTTATTAATACAGCTGTAAGTTACTAATGATTAAGGTTCTCCCTACCATTGGAACTTCTTTCTAGCCTTCTTCTGCCCCGGCTTCATCCTCTCCTTCACACGACTGTCTCTATCAAGGAGACCAGCTTTAAGAGAAAAAAAAGAGATCTTATACATTTACCGGTATATTCAAGATGGAACTTGAAATTCCTGTTAATTTTCTGACCAGCTAACAAAAATTAAAAGTAAAGAATTCATAATGGACTGACTTGTTTTAAACTAATCAAGATATGTCACCTGAAGTGAATTTAAAGCATTAATTTTGAAAAGTGCACTTTATTAAAACATCCTGTTTTCAAAGTTTATCATTCGTTTATAATCAAGAAATTTTCATCATACTGTTAATGTATTATATTTAGCATATACAACGTTTAGAAGAAATTGATTTTACAACAAGTTAGCCAAGATTTTAGTGCTGTCTGAACATGGTAGATATAAATATATACATAGTATTACATAACATTTAAAGATGCACTTGAATTAGCAGAAAGTGCTTTCCGCCAAAGGCGCTAAATATACTGAAACGCAAAAGAAACGCAACATCCTATTTGGGGGGAAAACATAATATATAGGATATAATTTTGTATCTAAAAAGTAAGGACATCTTCAACTTTGTAAATATCGGTAATTTAATGGTTGAATGATTTTCATACCATTACCGGAAGTTAAGTTTGAGTCCACTTAACAGAAATCAAAAACTGCATGTATAACAAAACATTTGGCAATAATATGGGGTTTTAAGGATTTGTATCTGTTCATCATAAGTAATGCAGCAATGTTCCGAAAAATAAATTCTCCTTTCTTTTCAGTAAGCGATGCCAAGGCTTCCTAAAAATGACTTAAGTACGCATTTCCATTGCTCTAGCTAAAAAATATCAAAATAAAGGTGATGGAGAATTGCAGATGCAAATATGCACCTTATCATGCCTCAACAGGCCCTTACATATCATTAGCATGAATGACAGTCCTAGGACCGGAAGTCCAAGGGTTTCTACACTGCACTTGGCTAGAGAAAATTCGACCTAATCATCTGAAAAACAGGCATTCAAAAATGGTAAAGAATATTTCTTTCGCTCAGATCTCGAGATTGATGAACCTATTGCATCGTAGACATCAACCTGCAACTGTTTTACATGGCAGTCTTGCACGCCATAATTGAATTGAAGGGTAGGGGGTGTTTTGACATTCATGCGTACTTTCTAAAGTTAAAAGATAATCATTTAACATTTTTATCAAATCTTTGATGTTTTTAAATCAAGTTTTACCTTACTGTATCCATTTTTGAAAATCATTAGATAAAAAATTCAAATATTTGTAGATTACTGCTTGTTGCGTTTCTTTTGCATTTCAGTATAGAATACACCCTCAAATATAATTATACAGTAAATATGTAAAATGTGATGTACTTCATAAATTTGTAGTAAATTATAGTCACTTGACTGTATAGCGGTATGTGCCAATAAGATAATAATTTATCATGCTTTAGCATATAAATACTCTGATAAACAGCTCTGCATGTTTCACATATGAAGATATATACCTAAAGACAATTTGTTGGCCATCTGTTGTGAGACAAAGGGGAGAAGAGCATTTGACAAGCCATGTCTAATGGCCCCTGATTGACCCATCTCTCCTCCTCCCTCCACTGATGCTTCTACATCCACTGTGTCTATACTTTCTGTCAGCACAAGAGGAAATAAAACCTGCTCCCTAAAAATGGAAATGGATATTTATGAAAGAAGAACAGCCCCCAGCACACTAGAACAGAGATTTTCTGTAATTATGCCAATATCCTCAGAGAAAATGAAGACAAACATAAAATTCAAGCAAACATGATATATACCAAATAAGGAAACATTTTCAAAATATATCATTGGTAAAAATTGAAAATATTTATACTGATTTCTGATTTATCAATTGCAGAGTCATTTCACATGTACCATTTTACTATTCATTAGCCATACATATGGTACTGTATGGTACACCTAGCATGTTACTATCTATCCATAATCCATATACAATACAGTAAAAGATGCTTATAGCAAAGTGCTAGACATGAACGATTTTAAATTGTTATGAATGTAATTCTTTATATAGAATAACTTCATATAGTAAAGGAATGAAAATCACTTTGATATAATTGCAATTTCATTATTATAGCATGTTTGCTTTATCTGTGTTTTACTGAACATACATGTATGTGTACAAATGTACAATATTAAAAGTATCATTTGAATATTTCATTTCATAATGTAAAATGTTCACAAATACATGTGTTTTATATGATAAAAGTCCTTACCTTGCATATACACTCTCAAAATACTCTAAACCCTTCCCATTTATTTCTATAACCCCACTCCCTTCTCCATATACTGTGACTCTAGCCCTGGCACTTTTCCTAGAACCTGTATAATGAAAAATAAAAAAAAAAACAAAAGCAACTATAAATCAGGTGTCAATGTCTGTAACAGATATGTTAATCAATACAAATTTATCATGTGTAATGTTTGTCCAATATAGGAAGTGTGCATCTCTGTATGTGTACAATAATGTTAAAGTGTACGAATATTGTTAATCATACATAAACTATGTACCATTGTACAATTTAAAGCTGGATAAGACAAAAAATGATTAAAAATGACAAAATGGATGCAGCAAATAATAGTTAATTTTGATCCATGTGCTTACATTCCCAATATTTATGTTTACAATAAATTATGCATAATCTCTGTGGAAAACCTGACTACTGCTAAATGAAAACCAAGACTTTCAAAATATTATTTTATCAACATACTTTCTTGGTGTTTAAGACAGCAAAACTGGTTGAACTTCAAAAGATGAAAAAACATACAAAGGAACATAAGATCTGAGACCCATATGACAGGAGCTTACCTTTGGTTACCCAAGGCACAGACGTGCAGCCAGAGTTACCAATTAGGCATAAATCATTGATATGTCATATGACAGGATGCTTCTTTGTTTGAATCTGACACTTTTTACTAGTATTCACTTTTTGTACTAGTTCAAAACAAGCACCACAATGCATTTCCTCATATAATAGGTTACTGATTTACCATTGATGTCAAGAAATTGAAAGAATTCAAACTGAATCAAAATAAGTTTTGAATGCAAGCTCTGTGATTAAAATCTTGATAAGAACAAATTGAAATTTCACCTCTGAGCTCTGTTGTCACTTACCATGCATAGTTTTGTATTTTCTCCCCTTATCATCAGTAAGGTATTTCTGAAATACACAATGTAATTGTATACAGCTTTTAATTTAAGTAAATTAAATTTAAAATACAGTATTTATATATAAAAAAGCCTTTTTGTATGATAACAGGCTGGTATAAATTTTAAAATCTTTCAATCTTTCTCCAACCTTGAAATGTAATAATTCATATTCTTGTGGGGAACTGTTTAATATGACTGTACTTAAAAAAAAATTTGTACAGTGGAGCCTCATTAATCCACACCCAATCATCCAGATACTTCATATTCCAGATAAAAAAAAATGTGGGAAACATAATAAACCCTTTATATACATCAATTATAAAAGGGTTCATTTCAGGAATACACTTCATTTATCTAAACATTTTGCTTGGAAACATAGTCATCCGGATTAATGAAGCTTGACTGTACATGTATACCAAATGCAAAATCCCGAAATGGATTGCATGAATGCCAGTCCCATAAAACATTTATACAATCTTACTAAAATGTACGTTACATGTATTTCATGATTTTTTCCTATCTTAATCCCTCTAATTTTGGATGATTGTTAATTTTATTTACTCTGTCTGGTCCAGAATCTAAGGATTGGGATTCTGTTGTCTTTTGCTTCCCATAATGCCTCAGGAACTCAACATCCTGTTCTCTCAGTCTCATAAGGGACAGCTTCTTCATTACTTCCACAAATCTTTTGTGCTAAATGAAAATATCTCTCTGAAACTTTTTTTTTTCCTCAAGCAGATTTAAAAATATTCTTTTCAATATAAAACAGAACTACATATACTTCAAAATAGGATTTGATATTTTTACTTTAATTGTAATTTTTTTTAATTTCTGCATTCTTTTGGACACAGTGAACAGAAAACAGACCTACCACCAAGATGATTTTAATCTGATAAAATCAACTGTTTAAATATGCCCTAGTCTATATGATATTCTCCACTTCTGTTCAATGGGCAGAGATTATTTTAAATGTTGATGTTTTATTCCCCCTTAAATTTCACCATTAAAATATTGTATTATTACATCATCTATTGCATTATTACATTTTTTATTGTATTATTACATTGGCTATTGCATTAATACATTTTCTATTGTTTTATTACATGTGCATTGTCTATTATATTACATTGTCAGTTGTCTTGCCAAAAAAAAACTTACATCTGCCTCTGTGACAGTTTCTGAGAACTGTGACTTGAACATTTCAATAAAAGCCTGTGTATTCATCCATTCAAATTCCTCACTATTAAAGAAAACAAGGAAAAGACATCAAATAAATGAATAATTTTAATCTGTTAAATTAGAATTTACTACAGGAGAAAGATGTGAATTTTGACATTACAACAACCTAATTCTGGAAATGTGTGTTCCCTGCTTATTAAAGGAGAAAAGACAAAGATAGAAGATCTGAAAGAAAATGCAGATGGAGAGAGAAAAAAAATTGACCTAAACCTTTCAACTTTTGGCCTTAAAGTTAAGAAGGGTCTTTTTTTAAGTTAATGAAATTCAGGAGTTTTTGTTTAATTGCAAAAGCTTACAGAGAACTAAACTTATCATCTGAAAACTAAATATGTATGCAACATATACATTTCTCGTCTTGATCTTCTGACCTCATGCAAAATCAATATGGGTCTATTTTAAATCATATTGACTAAAGGTATAAAATTTCAATTAAAACCTCAAAGATAATTACAATTATCACCAGGAAATTATTTTATGCAAGATATGAATTTTTTTACCTTGACCTTTTCACCTAAAAATAAATAGGGAACCTCTTTAAGTCATTGGTAGCTATGATATCAGATATCATGAAAAAGCCAAAGGAAAATAAGTCATCAGCTGGAAATCATTTTTTGCAATGTCTGAATTTCTGACCTTGACCTTGGACCTCAAGATCAATAGGGGTCTTCTTTAGGCCAAAGGCAGGTGTGATATAAAATTTCATTGCAAAAGCTCAAATGCTTTTTGAGATATCATCTAGAAATGAAAGTGTTACACACAGAGTATGAAATTCTGACCTTGAACTTTGACCACAAAATCAAAATGAATCTTCTATAGCCCATAGGGACTTGTGATGTAAAATTTCATTAGAAAAGCTCAAAGGATTTTTGAGATATATCGTCTAGAAATGAAAGTTTTACATAAAAACAGAATGACAGACAGACAAACGAATGCATGGCCCAAATTAATATCCCCCACTTTCAGTGAAGCATGTGGAACAAAATTATCAACTAAAGATAGATATTTACTTATGATTTGTATGTTTATGAGCCGTATTTGAACACAAAAAAGTTCATTGATATAAATCTCATGAAGAATAAAGAAATTACAATGTGTATTGTATATTGTTGTTTAGAAGTTACTGTCTTTGATTATCTTGTGCTCTTTAAAGAAAATATTTGGTACATGTATATATATATATAAGTACTTCATGGTGTTCAAAATTCTTGCAATTTGTTCACTGGCTTATTCAAATCTTCATACAGTCAAACCTTATCTCAAACTTGATGGGACAGAGAACAAACTTCAAGATATCTAAGGGTTCGAGATATTGAGGATAAATATATAAAGGGCTGGGACTTCCACATGACTTTGACATACCCATGGTAATCTAAATGTCAGCGTTCCAGATATGAAGTTCAATTGTACTTTCTTTCTACTATTATACTATTAAAACTATCCTAATGGTGAAGGACTAGATTCTTCTGCAGATGATATTGGGCTAAAAAAAGTTTGTTTCTGGTTACCCAACTGAACCTTATTTTACCCACCAATCCTACTACTTTTTATTCCAAATGCAGATTTTGAACTGTGCTTATGTTCACTGGTACAGTTAGATAGAACGTTCTATTGTTAAAAAAAAAAAAACATGGGCGATAACTCGAACTCTGTGCATTTTCTATGAACAATCCAGAGAGTTCTGAATGGCAACATGGCATTAAATTTGAAGTGAAGAAAAAATGTTGAGAAAACGAGTTAAATTTTCGTATTTATATGGATTATTTTTTAGGTTAAAAGGCATATACAATCTCAAAAAGGTTTGTTATGATTAATTTGGTAGTTATTTTCAGTGCAGCTCCTTTTTTATTCCTCAAAATCATTTCGGAGCAGATCCGCTCCAATTTGCTACACTGCAAGTATATGGGACATATTCTAACTGTGGTGAGGGCTTGTCCCGAGACACAATTAGATTATTCTAACTATGGTACAGTGTTCTCATAGTGCAGTCAATAAATGCATGTCTCAGACACTTTTAAAATATGTCTATCCAAGAGTTTAAGAGTACACTTGTTCTTTTTGTGTAATATTATTTGCTCATATATGTGTATATTTGTATGTATAGATGATGAAAAACAGTGTATTGAATAATTAACTGATGATTTTTAAAAAAAAAAGTGAAGTAAAAAAAAAGTTACCTACCCTAATTTTTTTTCGGCATGTTACCAAAAACACACATATTTTTTAGTTTGGCATTATAAAGGAAAATCCTCTTTCTGAGAAAAAGTGCAAAATTAAATTGCTTTACCACATGTTATATATCTACTTGACTAAATATTAATTTTAAGAAATATGTCGCCTTGTGGTCCCCATGCAATGACACTTGTATAGACATCTCAGTACGTATCACGTGTCTACTGTATATACATGTATATGTTAATTGACCTTTTGATGGTGTGACACTTACGTTAAATGTGTCATTACTTCTGATGGCTGCTGACCAGAGAAGCCAATTCTTACTTCCTCTTCTTTTAAATATTCCGTTCTCCAGGCTGCTTCCTGATGTTAGAGGAAAAAAAGTCATTTTTATCCATCAGTAACACAACTCTAAACTTTTTTTTAAATTACACTGATGATCATTTTACTACATCATTTAAAGTCTTTTTGTTAGACTTGCTACAGTTCGTAGAAATGTAGTAACACAAAGTTTCTGTTTTCAATAAAATTTCAACATTTTCCTAAAAGTAAAATACTTCATAATTCAGCATTAGGATTTTTTCATCAAATATCTTTGATATTAACTATAATAGTGCATAAGTTTACAATTACATCGCATAAAAAATCATAAGATTTCATCAGTAAAATTTTACACCATTTTCCTACTCACAGACATCATTTCATAATAGTGTGGCTTTAGAGTATAGTACTGGTAATGCTTTGGGCGCCCTGATTCTTCAAACGGGAACTCTAAAAGATGGAAGAGAGTACAATGACCAGTTTCAAAGTGAACAAACTGAACAGGTCTTAATACATATAGTCAATATATTAGTCAACAACAGTTGTGATTCTTGCACAAATGAGACTGGAAAACTGTTTCAATAATTTTATTGACTGCATAGCAAAACCTCTATACTGGCTTTATCATCTAAATTCAGAGTAAAATGCAAAAGGCTGATACTTAATAAGTCTCAAAATTCATAAAGCACAAACACCACAGAAAGGAATCTCTCCTCTTCCCAAATCTTTACTTACCTAAGTTTACTGGCAGAAAATCGTTTGGGTGCTGTTAAAAAAAATTGTTCACATAAAAAATTTATTGATAGTGGCATCTTTAACATGTTTAAGATAGAACTTGCTTTCATTATATCAAAAATGATTTATTTTCTTTTATCACATGTTTACTCCTTTATTCCGTGGATATCACTCATTGGATATTTTTTTCATATCCCACTGCTGTGACGTCACAATGGGTTTGCGCTAAAATGTGATGTTAGTAGGAAAATAATGTGATTCACATAAAAAAAAGCAGTGTAAAACATTGATAGTAATGTATAAAACGTGATAAAAAGAATCTCTCATAATTCGTGGTTAGATATGATTATTATCCAACTCATTGTGTGTTTTTATCCCCTAGCCAAGGCTTGGGGATAAAAGAAACACACAACTCATTGGATAAAAATTATATCCAACCACAAATCATGGGAGATACTATATATACATGATATATTCCATTGATTTTCAAAATGAGGTTCTCTTGTAATTAAGTGTACCACACTGTAGATGGACTTACCTTGAACTGGGGCCTGGATCCTTTATCAAATAGCCCTGATGGAAGGAGGTATTGTATGGCCTCCTATAAATAAAAATTTGGAGAAAATTCATTTATAATTACTTTATATGAATGATATGCTATAGTACTTTTGGGTTTTAAACAATTTCATTAAATAGGGCTAGACATGCATTTGAAAACTGCTTAGTTGGAAGAAAAAAATAAACTTTTAGGATATGCTATATGTTTACTTCAACAATGAAAATTTACTTGTTTTATATGACTATTTTCAAGAGAGCTGCTGCACATGTATAATCAATAAAATGCATATTTTCTTGAATTGCTAACAGTACGTAAAATGCTTCAACGGAATCAATATAGATGAAATCCCCACAGAAAAATGAAGATTTAGATGTGACTTACATTTATGTGTTCTTTTGTCATTTCATCTGGATGTATCCCCATCATATTGGCCAAATGTTTACGTCCAAGTTCATACTCCTCAGTATATTGACTGACCTTTACCTCTATAGGAAAAAAAGTCATTTCTATGCATATGTACCCTATTAGACACATGTTGCATTAAAAATTGTCAATCATGCTGTTAATTTCAGGTTCTTATGGTAACAACTTTTTTAAAAGTTGGCAAATCAATCTGCATGTATGCATACTTGAAAACTCACCATGTTCTTTGGCCTTTCTGAGAAATGCTTTCATTGCAGAGCTTATCTGCTCAGATCGCCTCTGTACCTTAGTAGTTGAACTGTCAACACTGACTGAGTCATCTGTGCTTAATGTTCTTGAGAAATATTTATGTATGACAGGCTAAAAAAAAATTAAAAAAAAAAAGGTCTTATTATTTCAATTCATTTCTGCCAAGTATGATGCGATGAATTGATAACAGTTTCTGTTTATGTATCAAAGCAGTCTTTGACAATATGATGACGTAAAATGTCTGATTTCATTTTGGATCCAATCAAATTTTAAATAACTATGGGTTGCTGCTATAAATTGAGGAAATTCGAAATAAGGTCACACCTTGCGATGTCTCCAGAGATAAGACAAAATCATGCTATCTTCACATAGAATGAAATTCATGTACTTACTGTTGATACCCCATGGCCATTCATATGCCTTAATTTTCTCCCTGCAACCCTAGCTGCGATTGACAGTGGTTGAATGGACGCGGCCATTTTCTTTGGTGTATATATACTTGATAGCTCGTACATGTACTTAGTCTAATTTAAAAGAAACTTGGATAAAATTGCCGAACGCCAGTGTTTGTCTCGAAATATAGTCTCCTTTGTATCTGGATATCTGGTGAATAAGCCACAATATTACTCTACAATTTACATAACGGGATAAGACAGTTAATTTTTTTTTGGGGGGGGGGGGGGCAATTAAATTCTTTTCCGGGTCAGACTATTGAAGGACAGTTTATTTCTATTTCTACGATGATCAGAGACAGATTATTTAATAATAATATTTTCATTATTTAATGAAAAAAGTTTAACAGGCAATAAACAAAAAATAAAATAAAATAAATAAATAAATAAAATTAAATTAGATTTTAAAAATAATTAAAAAGTTCGTCCCTGGATTTGAATACATGCGTGCATCAAATAGAGCAATTGATAGATGCACAGGCCAGTCTTTTCACTACAAGTCTGAAATTTAAAAAAAATTAAATATCTAAAATACCTTTGTAAAGTAAGGAAATTGAGAAAGAAGTTTTTTTAGAGTTAAAAACAAAATGAATTTTTGGCGCCCCTATTGGCCAACCTTATCAAAATGAACCGATTTTCCGTAAACCTTATTGCATATCTAGTCGTGTCCAATCTACATCAAGGGGGTACACTTACAATGATCGTTTGATATCACTGATATACGAGACACTACAAAATACATTTCAGAGAGAGAGAGAGAGAGAGAGAGAGAGAGAGAGAGAGAGAGAGAGAGAGAAACCGCAAGTTTCTATCTAATTCTAGTTAATACATTTTTTTATGGGAAAAAGATATGGAAAGTCTGTAGAACTGAAATTTTTAAGATAAAACCGTGAAAGAGACTGACAGGTTCGGAATTAGGGTGTCAAGTTACCTAATGTCATATTGCTCCCTGAATTCTATGACCGCAGTGTAAAATCATATATTTTCAAAATTTTAGTAAATGGCCCTTTTTATGTCAATAAAAGATAGTTACTGTAATTTAATCAAACACACACCATTCTTCAAATTACACAATAAGTTCTTCGTATAAATCACTGCGTCTGCGAACTTTTCTAACAGACTAATATCATGTTGTAAAGGGGGAGTTTCGATAAGGCTGTTTTTCGGCCCCTCAAGAAATATAATGAAATTGTGATATGTTGTAGATAAAAGTGTTATCTTCCTAAAAATATGAAAAAAATTTATACCGCACATTTTCTGGTCACGTGATAATTAAAAATTTAAGTATACCCTCTTCCCTAGATTTTTGGAGGCGTCATATTTAGAGGGGGTAATGGAGTTTATTCAACGTCAAAATCATAAGTGAAATATTACAAATGTGAATAAAGGCATCAAATAACCAATTTCAATATTTTTCTTTACAGAAAATTAATGATATTTATTTTATTTGAATGCGTTTTAAGGTGCAAGATTTTTCTGGTGTTTTAAGTGTAACTCTTCTTTCGAAGAGGATGAATGTAACATATAAAACGTATATGAATAATAAAGACAGGAATTTTCAAAAAATGAATTAATCGACAGTTTATACTTAGACTTAATAACCAATATATAACATTTTCCCGTACGTAAAAAAGCAAATGTAAAGATATAAAGACAAGAGATAGATAAACGTAAACTGTCATTGACAGGTTTTCGACACTGTTTGCAACACATTTTTATCAACTAAAGTTATTGTGCTAATAATAGTATTAATAAAATGTACCGTAATATCATTAAATTGAATTTTAAAAAAATCTTGAAATTAACAGATTTCGGAATTCGGTACGATTAAAAAATGCAGCTATTTATATTTTTAAAGTATATTTAAAAGAATCATACTGCAATGTACATTGTATTTAATAATACCAAGCGTATTACTACCAGTCAAAATATTTTATCAAGATAGTAATTATTAGTCCCATACCGATGAAGCCGGAGGGGTCTATAGGTTTCCTCATCGTCTGTCCCTTGTCCGTCCGTCCCTCTGTCTATCTGTCAGTCTGTTTCACTTAGTTTTTCGCACTTTTCTCTTAACGCTTGCAGATATTGAGCTGGCTTTGGTATTTATAGTGTATCCTGATGAGAAACAGAGTTTGAAATTCAAGTTTGAATTTCGTTAAATTCTGCTTCAATGATTTTTGACGGAACATTACAAATTTAAAAGAAGGGGGGTTCGGTGTTTTTAGTTTTGTTTTGTTTTTTCTAAATAATAAAAATCGCATATATTCAGCTAATTTTTGTTTTGGTATATGAGTTATAGATCAAGTTGGCATTTTCTTCCGCTTCAATGATTTTTCAAATAGGGCATTTTCAATTTTTAATGGAAACCAGGTTATACTTGGTGTGCCGATAGTGGACTATTATTGCTAATGCAGTGCTTACAGAATGCGTGAATAAATAGCTAAATGATAAAAAAAAACTAAAATACATTGAGTGCATGTCTTCTATTCATTCTTAAACTTAAAAGTATTTACGCACATAAAGAGGTGCATTATGTTTTCAGCAAAAATGAGACAATTCAGACAAGCGAGGACCTACATGCAATTCCTCGCGCTTCCAAACTTCCTTTTGATGCTTATGTTGTTTCACCAACTTTAGTCACTATTTGATTTGCTAGACCATAGCCGCAATTTAAAATACATTTGTAAATACCAAATGTATGAGTTAAATCATATCCTGCAGAAACGTACAAATCAACATCCAGTCTTAAAAGTAATCTACGTTCCATACATGTAGACCACACGGAAATATATGTGAACCTTCTCTAACAGATTTAAGCGAGGAGAGTTTCTATTCAAAGGAATGGCTATAACCATATCCTTGATAAAGAGCGTTAATGAATGGACTAATCCTCAAACTTCTCTTTAGTTCAGTCAGTCATTCGGGAAAATGTAAGATTCGGCATCTGTTACAGTTCTGGTAATGTGTAACCCTAAATGCATCATCGGTGCATATTTCTTCAAGATAGGGATTATAATTACATGAAAATAAGACATGCTCCAAAATATATACCCTGAGCATTCATCAAGAAAATGTAAGTCAGATCTCGCATCTGAAGCAAGTCTGACAGTGTGCATCCAAAGATGCATCATGAAGCACGTCTTCTCAACAAGTGCTTATAGCTGCACTGCTCCATAAACATTAACCTGCATGCTTTAAAAACATTAACCTGGACATTCTTTAACTGAAAATGCAGCATCTGAAACACGACAGATGACAAGAAAACACACTAGATCAGGCGACTCTGATGATATGAAAAAATTGATAAAAAACTTTTAATAACCTGGAACGCCTATAACGATGGCATTACAAAAGCTCCCCAACTTCGTGTAGGTGAGCTAAATATGTGACGTTAACGTTATACGCGGGCGACGAAATAAGTATGGAAATAACAATAGGATACGATTATGTTTTCTAATGTTAATATTTTCGAGAGTTCTCTTTGGTTTAGAAAAAAATATGCTACTTTTGGCTTTGTATTTTAACACGGCGTAAGATCAAGTAACCAGGAGCTTCTAATTTTAGATATGCAAATTTTAGACAATTTTCAATTTTTGGATATGAAGTGCACACGCGACACTCATCATATTTTAAGATATAAGTGTGCAGAGTATACCTAATTACTGAACAAAACTAGGTGAGTGTCCCTCATGCACTTCATATTCTAACCATCGAATAATATATGCCACCCCCTTATATTTTCCCATTAGCCTTATGTTAAAGCATTTGAGGGTACATCTAAGAATGTGCCAACTACGGCGTGAATTCATCTCATATAAACTCTTGAAATATAAATAACAAAAATTAACATATATATCTTGAATTCTAAACCAATTTTCAAAAAATAAAACGAAATTTATTTTTATGAAAATAAGTGGGCCGATAAGCGGCCTTATCGAAACTCCCCCTTTTGAATGTTTAAAATTACTAGGGGAGGTAATTAAAATGCAAAATTTACAACATGATACTAACACAACTCTCGTATACAGACAAAATTTTTGAGGAGACACAACTGTAAATTAGCTTTGTTTTATATTGTAAAGTATATATAGGCAAAATTAATTGGAAAGGGGGGTGGGAGGATTAAAATTAAAAAAAAATCTTGACATCATATAGATTCCAAAAAATGATAATTTTGCTACTGCATGAAATGTAATAGAAAGTCTGGGAACAAGTAGTTTTTTTCAAGAAAAAAAGTCGATCGTTTATAATTTCGAACCCCAATATTGACACAAAGGATAAGAATAAAAATTCCGAAACCTTCTATCACGTCAACTAATACCAATTCTGCATTTTGAACACCTATTCTTAATTCAAGTACTATTAATGATCAAGCTCTATAATCCGAATTTCAAGTTACACTATTGATCTACAGCTTATATATGTGCAATCGTTCTCTTGGCCAAGTAGGTTTAAAAAACGAAGATATTCTAAATGATCTCAATCTAACAGAAGCTTCTACTTTATCTTATTCTCCATCCCCCCCCCCCCCCCCTAAAATTTGGCTTTTCAAGATAGAGAAAAAGCTACACCATCCTTCTTAACCGAAAAGTCTAGATCCACTTCAATCGCAACAATGTTGAACATTTTATATCAATAATTCTGTCAACAAATTAATGATCATCACGTTCAAGAATCAGAGGTCACTGTGGCCCAGGCATTGACATTAGAGATTTATATAAGGGAGGAATATCACTGATAAAGCGGTGTAAATTACATCTTACCATGATAATTTGGTGTACGTACCCTATCTCTTACCATGACAATTTGGTGTACATTTGTCATAACATGTTTTAAGGTACCCATCAATTGAACAAACAGAAAGAAGATTTGACCGAATCGAAAGTTTACCCTGCTTTCTTCACTGTTGCTATATCACTGCTGCTCATAAAACAAAATATTCTGACGGAGACATGCCCCAAAAATCATATACAAGTATTAGTACTCGAATTTGATAGTAAAATTAAAAGTCAACTTATTTTAGTTATAGTTAAAAATTAATAAAAGATTATGAAAATAGGTACTATAGTTATCTAAACGGAGATAGATAAAAAATGTTTGTATATTTCCAGGGTCGACGGCATCTACCGTTGCAACTTGATTTATGAGTCTGGGAAGTCAACGAAAAATTATTAGAATAGGTCATTGTCGGCAAATATTTACAACTGTCGTTTACAAGCATTTACAAGCATAAATGTTGAGGGTCAATGTCAATTTGACGGTATTTGAAAAATATAAATGTGACTGACTGTTTATGTGTAACGTTACAAAATATAGTAATCTGAGGTAATACTCATGAAATATATAGATATTTTAATTGATTTCATTAATTTGACAAGTAATGCATTTTCCAGCCAAATATTTGTTCCTAAAAACAATATTAAAAATCGCTCAACGGTGTATTGGCTATACCACAGATATACACAGATAAGAAGAAAAACTCTAAATTAACGCCTTATCAAGCTTGTGTTATGAAAGATCTGAATATAAAGCCTTTTCATCTAAAATTAATGTGTGTCAATTAAAAAAAAAAACATGTAAAAGACGAAGATAAAGAACAGTGATCGATCTCATAAATCCAGTAAACAAGAAGAATCGTGAACAGGGCAAAACACCGACCCCTGGAAACACTAGAGGTGGGATCAGGTGCCTAGGAGGAGTAAGCATCCCCCGTCGATCGGTCACACCCACAGTGAGCCCTATGTATTGATCAGGTAGACGTAGTACTCCGTAGTCAACTTTAGTATAAAAGTAATGAACTAATAAATGGTATGAAACATATCAAATAAAATACGACCCAACGATACTAGTAGGTGGTTTACAAACAACGTCATTATAACGACCGTAGAATTTGCAAAAAAGCTGTATTACACGAGGTTTTTGAAATTCTTGAAACATCAACTTATTTGTCGGTAGCTTGCCTCGGTTTAGAAATTGATTATATTCAGAGCATGCTTTTGCGTATCCAAATAGTTAGGCGACATAATTTAACACCATATGATGTGTAAATTAAATGTGGATTCTCAAAAAAGAACTTTCAGAAAATACAAAATCAAAAGGTCAGTAACATGAAAACATATTTTTATGACTTTTCGACACTTTCTACAACCATTCCTCATGATAAATTAAAACCTAGGATTTTTGATATCATAAACAACAGTTACTGCTTCTATAATAAAAATGGAAGTCGGAAATTATCATATCTTGCGACTGGTCATTTTTGAAAAATCACTCTGATTCACATAAGTACTCTGATGCTGATATTTAATGATGATGGAGTTCCTCTCTGACAACATCTACGTAGTCTTTGGAGATCAGGTCTTCCAACAATCTGTTGGAATTCCCATGTGAACTAATTGTGCTCCTTTATTAGCTTATCTGTTTTTATATTCCTATGAAGCAGAATTTATTTACAAATTTCTACATGAGAAGAAGGAAATACTTACTGTGACCTTTAACTCAAAATTCAGATATACTGACGACGTTTTATCAATTAACAATAGTTACTTCCATTTTTTATTTTGTCGACTCGATATATCTTAGTGAATTCGAAATTTAAAAAACACACCACAGAGTCTGTCACATCTGTTTCATATTTGGATGTATTATTGACTATAGACGATAAGGATCAACTAACAACTAAACTGTATGACAGCGAGATGACTTCAACTTTTCCATCGTCACCTTTCCTTTTTTATGTAGTAATATTCCACTATTACCTGCATGTTTTGTTTATATCTCCCAACTTACTTGATACTCATCACGATCAAGAGCATGCTATGAATATGGTTAATTTTTTAAACCGAGGCAGGCAAATGACAAACGAGTTGATGTTGCAGGGATTTCAACAACCTCCCTTAAAGCCAGCATTTCGTAAATTCTATGGTTGTTATGACGACCCTAATTGTTAGAAAATACATACAATCTATCATCGGGTCTTATTTTGACTAACATATTTCATACCAATTATTAGGTCTTTTTTAAAATACTTTTTATACTAAATTTGACCACTGATTAATCCTTTCGCCATATCAATACACAGGGCTTAAGGTGGGTGTGACTGGTCGATAGGGGATGCTTACTCCTCCAAGACACCTGATCCCACCTCTGGAATTTCCGGGGGTCAGTGTTTTAGGCCGTGTTCACAGATTTGTATTGCTCGTAGGTTTTTTGAGATCGATCATTGTTCATTTTTTCACTTATTTCATGCAGGAGATGATGGAATATTGCTACATAAATAGAGAAAGTATTATGGAAAAGCTCAAGTAATCTCGTTTATCCTACACTTTAAATATTAGTTGGCTATTATCATCTATATAGCCAGTACAACACCCAAATATGAAACAGATGTGGCAGACTCTATAAGAGCTCACCGGGATATATCGTGTCAACGTAAGAATTAAACGTCGTCGATAAATCTAAATGCTGAGTTGAAAGGCACAGTAAGATTTTTTACTCTTCGTGAAGAAGTCTTTGACCTTCTTTTCTCCAGATATGACATTCAGAAACTTTTCATTAAAATACATGCACATCACATTTCTCAAATCCTTTCCATTTTAACCAAGCCATGCATTAATCCGTCTGTATACAATGTACGTCATAATGAAATATAGAGCATTTGAACATCTTCTCGCTTATCACATACCCAATATTAAGGTCATGCATACATTTCTTTTGTTGGGGGTACTTAAATAATAGGCACAGGTAAATTTATCACGTGTTTTCATTGATATGGAGGTCGTAAACCTGAAGACTTTTAAATTCGGTTAACAATAACAATTCTCATGTTTTTAAACATAACTTAAAAATATCCACCCGGAACGCCAGAGAAAATGAGGAGAACAATGTACAAATATGGAGTTCTTATTATTAACTTTCTTCTCATTCACGGTAAGTTAATAACATTAGGCTGAATTAAAGACATTTTATTAATCACTAATCCTTCCGTAAACATCTAGTCCAAGGAAAGGGACTGCATGGTTTTCACTGTCTCTTATCAAAACGACTTGGACGGACATTTTTCTGAAGACACGGATACTCTTAGCCAAAGATCGTGAAAATGATTTTATTGGAATATCAATCAGTTATGATTAGGAGGACATGTGCTTTAAGCTTAAAATAAACTAAAAAGAATACTATCATCATTTTTTAATGTAGGTTAGATCATGCTAATGGAGAAGTCAGTCTATTCCATGATTTATGTTTTAAAAAATCACATTAATAGTAATGTTAGAATTTCAGTGACCATAAAAATGAGTATATAAATAAACACTTAGAACACACAACAATTTTAAACTCTCGACGCATATTTAATTCCAACGAACTTTTAGAAAATTTGAAATCACAAAATTTTACCAAAATCAATAACATCAAAACGTACGACTTTTCAACACTCTATACAACCATAACCGAAGATAAATTAAAGACCAGGCTTTTTGACATCATAAACAGCTGTTTTTTCATTAATTAAAATGGAACTCTAAAATTACTTACCTCGTCATTGGTAATTAATTTTGCAAAGATATTTTGTTGAAAACATTCTGATTGTACACACGAGTACTCTGAACTAGATATCTGTATTACAAAGATGCTTGAGTTTCTGATTGACAATATCTATGTAGTTTATGGAGATCAGAATCAAACAATCTGTCGGAATTTCCATGGGTACCAATTATGCCCCGTTATTAGCAGACCTATTTTTGTATTCATATGAAGCAGAATTTATTCAAAAAAATTCTACATGAGAAGAAAACACTTGTTGTGGCCTTCAACTCGACATTTCGATATATCGACGACATATTATCAATGAACAATAGTTACTTCCATTCATATGTCGACTCGAAATATATCCCAATGAACTTGAATTAAAAGATACAACAGAGTCAGACAAATCTGTTTCATATCTGGACATTTTATAAGAAAGCTGAAATTTGTTTTAGCAGGCCTAGGTATCTGTGCAACTTGAACACTTCAACATAAAGGATGTATTCAGAATTTATAGGTCCAAGCCCGATTTATAACAAAGTGTTCCTTATGGTCGAAGTATGGAATTTTCAGAATGAAGATATTAAGAAAGAATATTTGACAAATTAATGAACAAGTCTTGCACTTTGTAGATTTACAACTGAAGTAAGTGAATTTCACAAATTCCAGCAGAATAGGAATATGGGTTTTTGAATTTCTCTAAGATGATTTTATTCTTTCCCCAAGCAGGAGCCAGAATAAAGATTTCGAACATTATTAGAATGAAATTAAACACACTTGAAACTTTAAATTAATATTTTTTGTTCCAAAGATCAACCATAGTTCTGTTGACTCCCGAGAATTTTGTTAACCTAGCTTTTGTCTCGCCATAAACCTAAAAGTTTTCTATTACGGAAAGACAGTTTTTTTTCTACCATATGAAGAAAATTCCGTTGATTCTCAAATATTTACTTGCTATTCACAAATACTGAGCAAACAACCCAATTGAAATTAATAGATTTTACTTCGAAAACATAACTATTCATTTTAAAATTCTTAATTAAACGCCGTTTTTATGACGATTTTTTTCTTGACATAGTATCAAATTATTCGTTATGTCTATACTGTCGTATTTTTTTTTTCAGTTGAGGATTCTGTTCCCTCCAATTTAAAATTGAGTTTTATTTATACATATCTTGAAAGACAACATGTCACATATAGTTTTCTGTTGACTTATGTTTCTCTTGCAAGCCCAAAGAAGATGAATTTTCACATTAATCGAACGTCTAGAAAGGCGATTAACTATCTTTTGGACTTCACTACATCAGAATTATCAGGGATAAAAGGAGGGAAAATTAAAGAAGACTAATTCTATTTTTGTTATCGCAATTGATTTGTGAATTATATATTTATTGTATGTGTGGTTTTTGCCACTTCACATCAAATCAAATTAACCCCAAGCAATAAACATCCCGACGACAAGTTTTTGTCAGGTTGGCACTTCAAAGGCAAAGTCAAGTAGTTCAGTCATTTGGTATTTAAATGGTGTCTGTGGTACGTGTGACCTCCAAATAATTGAGTTACTTTTGTTATGCTGAGGTTTCTTTTCGTATTCTTATTATTTTTCATTATCTTCAGCATCTATGGACATATCTGAACAACATTTTTTTAGTCCAAGAAAAGCTGGGTAATATATGATCAAATTGAAGAGCAGGCGACCTCAGGTGGAAATGTTTCATTTTTTAAATCCTCACAACTAAAAAATGTAAGGTCATAATAGGTGTTCAAAGGTTATTCTTGAAATCGGCGACGTGAACTATTGGGATTATTTGTACACACTTTCGAATGTACATATAATTGTAGTATTCGCTTTTAAGCAATGTAAATGAGCTTTCTTTAAGAGTACATGTTCATGATACGGTCAACGCATTTGACTTGGTATAGCAATTTCTATATACTGGGTATCTACTATATCAATTACATGTCTACTTATTTATCGGTCAAATTATTTACTATTTCTTTGTAAGTTTTCTGATGATCTAATTTTGACTTCCTTGTTTGTCTTGAATGTTTCTAATTTGAATAAAAGGTTCTTTTATTTTTTTTTATAACATAAATCTGCCAAAAAGAAACATCTGTACATGTATTATGCCTAAGTGGAATTTCTAGCAAGACTTAAATTCAGCGACTTATCCTTAAAAAATTGTACATATATATATTTTAGCGGTAAATTAAGCGATTTTAAAATGCCAATTATGAAAGATAGCTTTTAATATCGATAAAATTAAATTGTTAGCGATATTCAGTTTAAGCGATCTTAACACCCTCGCTAATTATGCCAAAATTGAATCCTTCTTAAAATTTCTACTATTAATATGGTAATATACATAAATGTTCATAATTATATTTCAGTACATAATATCACTGTTCTTCTTCAGTTACCATTGGCGATCCTGATTTATTTCCTACCCAAAATGACTGCTCAGGTGTTATATGCAAAACAAATAATACAAACCACGAGTGCTGCATTAATCATAATCCGGAGTCTGGCGGATCTAACGAGTCTTTCATGTAAGTTATCTTCTCGAAAACTCATAATAGCTTTTAGAAAATTTAAAGTTACAAATTTTTTCTAATTAAAAGTTAACATCAGTACGTATGACTTTTCTACATGCACTATATACAACTTACAATTCATCACAATAAACTAAATACTAGGCTTTCTGATATCCAGACAACAGCTTCTTCAATAAAAATGGAACTCAGAAATGTTCATATTTTGTAATTGGTCACCTACAAAAATGCTTTGTTTAAAAACATTCTGATTCTCCACAAAAGTACTCTAGAGTTGATATTAAGAGGATTCTGGATATCCTTGTTGACAATACATGTATCTATCACTAGTTTTTGGGGACCAGGTCTTCCAACAATATGATGGAATTCCGTGTGGAACTAATTGTGCCCTTTAATAGCTGACTGTTTTTATATTCTTAAGAGGAATAATTTATTCACAAACTTCTACATGAGAAGCAAAAAAAAAAAAAAAAAAAAAAAAAAAAAAAAAATTTTTGGTCTTCAGTGCGACATTGAGATATATCGACGATGCTGTATTAATCAACAATAGTTATTTTCATTCGTACGTCGACTCGAATTACCCTACCGAACTTTAAATAAAAGACACAACAGAATCTAATACATCTGTTTCATAACACAACAAAACATCTGACAAACGGGACGATTTGCAGATTTTCCATCATCAACTTCCCTTATTTATGTAGAAACAATCCACTGTCACCTGCGTCGTGTTATACTTCCCAAGAGAACCATTACTTTTTAAACCAACTTGAAGACAAATTGCATTCTGACTGACAAGTTTCTTACCAATCGTTAGGCCATTGTTTTGATACTAATTTTAACTACGGATTACCCCATTTATCTATTTATCTTACCAATACAGATCGATACTCACGGCGGTTTTGATAAGTCAACAGAGGATGCTTACTCCTTCTAGGCACCTGATCCACCTCTGGTGTTTCCAGACGTCCGTGTTTTTCCCCTGTTCACAATTTGTTTTATTAAAGGATCTGTCAGATCCATCACTGTTCATTTTTTTTCATTTCCAATCAAAAGCCTTGACTGAAACTGAGTTTCAAGCTTAATGCATGTACATGTAGATGAAAGTAAATACAGAGGCAAAGGCCCAGCAACTTCTATAATGCTTGGTGTTGTGTTGTTGCCATTGTTTGTTTGATTTTTAAGAAGGTTATTTATCATTCAAAATTATTAATTCATTTGGCATACCTAACACCAAAGTAAAAATGGATTACCAAAGTAAAAAATTGACCTATAAGTGGTACTACTAACATTATAACTGGAACTTGATTTCAATCTTAGAATACTAAATAAACGCAGCTGCAGAGGATTTTTTTTTTTACTGTTTTGATTATTTTCAATAATTTTTATCATTTATGTACGTAATTATTTTATTCATTTAGTTAATTAATTTACTTATTTATTTTCAGACACTCCACAACAGCCGCTGTTTTCTTTGTTGCTGTGATTGGATCTCTTGTTACGGTTATATTTATGATGTTTTTCTGTAATAATTGTGGGAAAATGTGCCGTCAACTTTCAAATAAAAGTAATCAATCAAATCCAGGTATATATACATGTTTTTTATCTGTTAAAAATATTTTAGACCTCAAGTTGTACAAAATCCTCTTAAATTTATTCAAAATTTGTTATCATTAAAAGCCTCTTTCAAAATTAAAATAAATCTTATTGTAAAGTACTTGTATAACTAAAAGATCAAAATTGAAGTTACATGTAAATATTTTCAGAAATTTCTTTATATTCCCATTTACACAACTGGTGTCGTAATATATGACAAGAAAGTATCATAAGAAAAATCTCGCTTATCTCCCTTAATGTTCTACAGCACGGCAGTAAATAGAAAATAATAATGAAAAAACTCGAGACTGTAAATTATTTATTTGAAGTTCTTAATAGATTGCATAGATCGACTATCATTTTAATTTGAGGACATGCGAGAAATTCTCGTCACAAATCAAATACAAGTGATGAGAAAATAAATAGATGCCAATAAAAGTTCATTTGTGTAGAAAGCACTGTTGTGAAGCTTAAACACAACGTAATATTTCATACCATATTATGTAGAAATTTTAATATTTTTTTTCGTTTTGTTTTTATCAAAGGGCAAAATTCAACAGTAAGTACTGTTTCCGCCGGTGTACAGACCAATGCAGTTGATACACCTCCCCCTTACGCACTCCAAGACCAATATCATAGGACAAACAACGACGGTGTAGTTGTGGAGCTTGAAATACCAAGGTGTCCCTCCTACGTGAAAGACCCTCCTCAGTACCAGGAACCTATGGTTGATACGTGTAGTGTGCATTTAGAAGTGGAAAACAGGACAAGAGGAAATGTATTTGAATTTTCGAATCCTTCTGTCGTTGATGCTTAATTTAATTTTTAGAATTAAGATTTACATTTTAAGATTTAGGTTTAGGTCATTATATTTTTCAATTAATACGAAATGAATCAATCCAGTGAACAAATTATTATTTTATAACTATAATGAATATATATGTTTTTATATATAAACTTTAAAGAATTTTATATTACAATATGTATATTATCATGTAACATGATACTAGTAATTTCATCTGATAATCTCATTAATGTCCCCGTTCATCTATAAATCAGATTTGTACATACTATTATAATATTCAAAAACATTTTTGCTTCAATCTGCAAAGCAACTGCTATCCATTTACTCCGTCTTCCGTGGGCCAAAAACTTTTCTATTTTTTAGATCTATACTCCCAGAATAGGAGAAAGTAGGAGAATATTTACTAAATTTACTAGAAGTAGAATCAAGATAATCCAATCTATGCCTCATATGACAGAATATAGATTTGGATATTATGGCGGTGGTGATAAATATTTTAATAAAAAGAATTTTTTCAAATGTTCTCGAGAAAAAGAATCAAACACTACAAATCGTCAAATCAATATGAATATGGCCCAATGTAGTGTAAAATAAAATAAATTCACTTTGGACCATATCGGGAAACCTTAGGTGTCTTGTGTCTTACAAAGAATAGAAAACACACTGTCGCAGTGTCAGTAAGACACTCAGGTGACGTAAAGGCCCAGGTGTTTTTTATTATAAAAATGACATGATATTTATTATGATATTTGCCATTTCTATTATGTGATTAATGTGTTCAAATTTTATCATATGCCATACTGACATTTTCAATAGAGTTATCAATACATGAAGGACACATGCATATTCAATGTACATAATAATTATGTCTTCCATGTAAACAATCGAAAGTACAGTGCAAAATATATGTTCTTATTGCACTATTTATTTCAAGACATCTAAATAATATGACTGATTGATTGTATGTTGTTTAACGTCCCATTCGAGAATTTTTCACTCATATAGAGAAGTCACCATATGCCGGTGAAGGGCTTCAAATTTAGATATATGAGAGATGTACATATATGCATACATTTCGACATAAAACATAAACTATTTTTTTTTCTTGGACATGGTCCGTTTTCAAATTATTTATGTCATATACGTATGTAATCTGTATAATTAATTCCACGCTGAAAAAAGTACAATGTTTTAAACAAAATCATTGTTGGATATTGTGCTTTATTTTCAATGATTTGTATGGTATGTGTAAAATATATTCATTTTTACATGCGTTTACTTTTAGAATTCGAAAGTACAATTTGTGTAACTATGCATTTTATATATATTTTTTCTGCCAAACATTTTGATTCATTGATATTTGAGCTAATTTTTGTACTTTTGGCATATTTAGTGCCTCATCCTTTCTTTTCATATCACACAATCCTACGCCAGGCTTTCATTTTTATAATTGAGTTTGATAAACGAGAACGTTTTACATTCGATCGTTTTATCGCTGATATCCTTGTCTAGTAATGCAAAATGTATTTTTGTAACTTTAAATCATATGAAATAACTTTTTAATAAAATATATTATTTTTATTTGTACATTTTGAAATGAAATCTACAAGTTTTTCCAGCTTAAATTAAATGCTCGTTTTTCCTACATGTATAAGTTCTATTTACAAAAAGGCAAATTGACAGAAAAAAGGATTTTATATGGAAGGCATCCTTATGGAAAAGACTTTTTTCCAAAACTAGACAAACGCTCTTTCTAAACAAATGCTCTTTTTGACGATGGCTGTCGGCGGCCGCCACCTTCTGATTAGAATTGTAGTCATTATGCACAGCGTGTTTTTTATTATTCATTTATTACACTCACACCACCCATCAGTGGTGCATGGGATACAGTATATAAAAAGTCGCCATAGTTCTCCATCATGATCATCTTCGGTGTGTTCCCGTTTTGCACACATTTGGTAATTATATAATTATGTAAACAAGTAACATTAACGATGTTCTGGTAACAATTATAGTCTGCTTTCAGTCTCTAATTTACCTGGAGAAACCGATATTTTTATAAATTGCAAAAAGAAAAAAAATACGAAAAAAGAACTAAGAATTAAGTAAATATCTAATGCTCATCCCAGCCTTTTTTTCATTCTTCAAACATTATATTGCAAAAATTAATTTTTTCATGCACCCCAAGCCCAATGGAAGCTGATTAGAAGATCAAGCTGAATAGTTAAGTCATGTTTTTAGCTGTATGATATAAAATGTGCATTACTGTTTTTTATGCATCTAATATCGTACAGAACAAACCATCATCTCGTGCAGCACTGCTGTGATATCGAATTTTTATTATGATATGATATGATGAACACAACCGTAAATTTTAGATACCGTTACAATATCATCAATAAGAATACACAATACTTAAAAAGATATTTCAGTACTTTAAATAAGATGCGTGTTAATTTTTAATATATTCAATCTTCTGCATCTTCATAATATTGTTAAAAATAAAAAAAAGACAATTATCAACTGCCAAGCCTACATTAAAAACAAATTGAAGTTTGAAACAATTGAATTAGAGAAGTGATATAATAAATACATGCATTAGCAAATCAATCTTTAGTTATAATCTGAATTCAACATAATAGATGTCAAATGCTTCTTTAACATTTAAAATAGTTTACATTGCCATTTTCGGAATTTGCAATTTTCATCGACAGATTTTTAGGTTTACTTGATAGGAAATTTTCGACAAAACTAAATCTTGACACCAGTAAAACTTGTAAACTTTCCTTTCACATGGTATTCTCCATTTCCATAGTAAGCTATCCAAACATTGTCTCCCAATTTTAAATTCACAACTGCCATTTTGGAACATGGTTGATGTCCTCCAGTAAATTTGGTATGACAATATATCCACGAAATAGGTGTACCATTCACAATCAATTCAGTGCTGGTTAATGTTCGATACCTTGGTAATATGTGCCATCCAAAGATATAAACACCTTCTTTTGGAGCAGTGAATTTGCCGGTTTTGTAATTATAACCGTTACCTTCATTCAATACGACATGGCCAAACTTTAAGACTGAACCTCGACTCCCTTTAGAGTCATGTACCATTGCAGTTTCGAAGGCCACTTTCCGTAAATTGTCTTAAACAATAACAAATTATTACTCAAAAGTTCTTTTAATAGCCAAATATTTTGAGACTTTTTGATGACATGCAATATAAGATTCCTTTAATTTATTATTAAGGATACTTTCCAATATATTCTAAAGTTTTATCAGTTAATAAATTATGATTTATTTTACCATCAAAGACTTCTGATCATCTAATTCACATCTTACATTGATTTAATATATTGTAGAGAAGTTTTTGAAATAGATCGACAAAAACATGCATAGCATATAATCACCTGTATGCATTCATACTTTTTTATTATATATAATTCCAAGTTTTCAAAAACTTTAAAAAAAAGTTAATCCAAAATTAATGTCACAACTGCTTTAAAATCTTAAATAAACGAAAGTTATCAACAATATTATATATATGAATACCTTTATTTTGACTTTTATCTTAGAATTTTATTCAAATATATGCAATACTTTAAAAAATATTAAAATAAACACAACATTAGGTCTCCGCACGGCTAGAGTGTTACCGACGTCGTTTTGATGCGTCACAATGTGACGTAAAAGGCTCATCCTCCACGTACTTTCTTCTTTCTAGCATCTTTTGACTTCCATTTACAGTGATATTTGTATCTTTATAATCTTGATTATTTCACTTATTAGTAGTTAATTTTTCGAACGTCAAGACAGGTTATCAAACTTCTTAACCTTTCAACTGAGGTAGAAGAAAGTGATTCGACGATCAATCAATCTTTAATGTCACTTGCTCTTGAATCTGATGATACATAAAATCTTTACAAAAGGACTGAATTAAGAAATAACATTTGAAAAGATTTGAATAATTTTGAAAATGATCTCAAAACAAGACGCATTATAGCGGAATGGCAGCAAAGATAATTAAAAAGAAGCATGTGAGAGGTTGAAAAGATTTGAGGATAAACTTAAAATGAGTGCCGAAAAATAATGTCAAAACGACGACGGTAACATTCTTGCCGCGCGGCGACAGACAAAACCTAACGTTGTGTTTATCTTAATATTTTAAAAAGTCGTATCTTTTAACTGAATTGAAATTTTAAGGAAAAAACTAAAAATAGATAGGGGTATCAGTATGTAAAATTTTGTTGATAACACTAGATTAATAAGGATTCATAGCAGTTGACATTACTTTTGGATGAACCCTCTTAATTACGTACGGTTTTCGTAAATGACAGTTTTGATATTTCTCCGGTGAATTAAATTTGCTCAAAGCTCCGTTCACAATCACCCATTTAATATCATGTACTCACAGGTGTAAATTTCACACACATACAAATTATTACTCATGGTATGTAAAAGTAATCATTACAAAGCCTACACATGCAGTGGCTAACTGTGAAATATCAATCTTCACTTGGCAATTTCCAAGTATTATATAAATACTTGTTTGGGTTTTCTAAATGTTTCTCAACTTTATATTTTCCCTATGTACTAACGTTTGATGACATGGAAAACAAGATTCTCTTACAACTTTCAAATGCATTAAAGTTTCATCAGTGATATAAATTATTTAAGAGAAACATTTTGATTTTCATCTGTCCATGCTGTTAACTATTATATTATTTTATGAATACAACAGCTAGAAGGCCACTTCTCTTTCTAATACAAAATATGTTGCATTTAAAAGGAAAAGTGGTTTATAGACAATTCCAATATTTGCATGTATTAATTTATGTATTCAAATGCGTGAATGTACACCTGGAGTAAACCCTAAATTTGCATCCAGTCTGACTTGAATTTTGCATTATGAGTACAAATACTCGTGGTGCAAATCTTGCCCCTCCCCTTGTTTACATGCTTCAAAATGCACCCGGTTGCGATTTTGCATATATGTAAAATAAGCTTTCCGTGTGTAAATGGGCACATGTGAAGAGAACTTATAAAGAATATATAATGTATCTTTTTATATAATGTTCTTTTTTAAAATATTA